TGGGAAAGGGGAGCCACGGCGAGGAGAATAGGGCTTAAAGGCCAACTGATGATGGACACAAAGCTCTCCATCCCTTGCTACATCAGCCCTCTAGGCCATGCCCAGAAGCTCGTCAGTATATAATTATCGGAAGCTGAGAACAACAAACCTATATTCCATTGTTTAGAAATGCTTTTGCCCTGCTTTCTATTTAATATACCAAAGAATTGGATGGAAAGTAGATTAACCATAGCTGTTACAGTTACAAAAGGGTTTTTAAAAAAATCTTCATGAATGTTTGCCAGGAACCCCCAAAACCAGCTTCCTTGCTAAGTTCCTTAGCTGATGCTAGACCATGAAAATGGATAGCTGTGGTCAGATGTTTGGCATGGCCAAATTCCAGGTGATGAGTCTCAGAAGCACAAGAGAACCAAGTAGGCAGTGACTGTCCTAGGGACATGCCTTCTTTCCACATATGCTCCTTGGGTGGTTTTCCACAGCAGGCCAACTGAACAGAGCTCATAAGGTTTTTCTGCTAACCTGACAAAGTCTGCTTGTGGTGAAAAATATGGTGCAAATCCCATCCTTTCATTATGGCACATAGAAGCTCTACCATATTTATTGCTAATTTAAAAAGATATACTATTGACCTAAGTTTCTTGAAACTGGTCAATTTTCTTCAACTGGTCAGTTTTTTAATTCTAACAAAATATAAGTTCACTTACTGTTGGCAAAGAGCACAGTGGTTATAAACTTTAGAAGTAAATTAAGGTGACAGAGAGCAGCTGCTATTGCAGAATCTTATATGGCATCCCAGGCTACAACTCTAATAGGTACTTCTCACACCTTTGGAGAAAGCCTCTTAGAGATTAAAAGACAGATCTAAGAGGCATAATACTTACTATTCTGTTAATTCCCAGTTTTAAATGCATTTCTGCATGGATTCTATTAAACACACCCATTCTAACAAGCACAAAAACTTTTCCTTCTCCCTAACAGCCTTGGCCACTAAGCTACGGCTTAAGGGCCACTTCCACGTATAGCATGGACTTCCCTTCTGACACAAGGGAAGATGCTCTCTGAATCCTGTACATTCAGCAGGCAAGACCATATTTTTTTAAAAATTATTTCACTTACATCTTTCTGGTTGGAGTGGAAGAACCTGAGTGCGAAGTTACAGGACTGGGATGCAGCAGCATATTGACCTAGGGCTTCAGCGTATCGGGTCAAGAGATAACTAGTCAGAGGGAAAGAAAAAAACAAAGCACGTTATACTTACCTACCTCTAGTACCACTACACTTCAAATGACTATGGCAGAGAAACAGCTAGGCATACAGAGAAGTTGAAACATAACTGCCAAAGAAATTATCTAATTCACAGAATCAAACATTTTAAAAAAGAGAAATGTTAATTCAGTTTGTGGAAAGTCTAAAAATCTATGCCATGCATTCTCATACTCAGATGATTAATGGAACACAAGTTGTAAGAGAACAAAATGCTGTCTTCCTAAAATAGTTCTATAGGGGATAGAGAAAATATCCTTGATTCATCAAAGAATACTCAAAATAAAAATTTAAAGAATCTCTGGAGTCAATAAGGTATGTGTGTCAACCTCAGCTGTAAGGCAGAAGTAAAGACTTCAGAACAATGCGTGCTTAGTAAAAGCATTCAAAGTATCTGCAGCAGTTTGCTGCCTGAGAGGAAAACTTATTATTTCTAAATTTTGCCAATTTAAAAATTTGCTTGGAAGAATAAAACTCTTTCCACTTTGCCACACATGATATTTAAACTAAAAAGCTTAATACTAGGAACAACTTTACTGCTAAAATCAAAAGGTTAGAGTTCTATGTATAAGGACCCCACGCTGGTATGGCCAGCTGCTCATTATTCAGAGTATATACTACCAACCCAATGGTATCATGCTGGATATGTTTAGCATCAAGGCTGGAATACAGATCCACCACTGGTTCAAATGCCCCCAGCATACAGTAGATTCGAACAAGCAGCAATTTGAATTGAGCATTGGAAGGGCTGTGTGTTAATCCCTCTTCCAGCAAAGTCAGGGCCTGCCATACAGCAGTCTCATCACCTGGAATCAAAGTATAACAACATTATCCACAGATCTTGATAGGAAATGGAGGTTTCTCAAAAACAAAAGACAAAATCTTAATGACATCATCACTTTCCCTAACTATTCTAAGAATGAGTTCAGGTAGCAAAGAACAAATTTTAAATGCACACCTGTAAGCAAATAAGCCATTTCCCTGAATAGACAGACCCTTAATAGTTACAATTCTTAAACAGGCATCTGCAAAAATGATGCAAACTTAAAGCTGCCAGGTCTTGTGGGGGGGGCGGGGGGAGTTAAGGGATCTCACAGAATCCTGCATTCTGAGAAAAGATGGGACTTGGAAGGAGAACTGGAGGCAACCAACATTCCCAATATAGGATTTTCCCTGTAAGATTCCAGATGCTCTATCTACACATCATTTTTCTTCTATATGTAACCCTGTTAGTAGGATGTCAAATAATACTTGAAAAAATTGCTCATTAATAATCAAACTAAAATAATATGCTAATTTTTTGGCTGTCCAAAATTTAAAAAGGTTACACCCATCAATAACTTTAAAGATTATGTACCTTCTTTTTTATGAATCTATCTGAAGAAAATACTATGAAATGAAGATAAACCTTTATATACAGAAATATTCACTGCACTACTAATGGGATGATTAAGTAAATGACAGTTAACACCCACAATGAAAACATCATACAGCCATTTGACATAAGTGAAGAGTTTTTAATAACAAGGGTTTCAATAAGACACACACAGAATTCAAATTGTGTGAAGAATTGACCTCAAGTCTATAAAGTATGCACAGAAAAAGAGAGAAGGAATAGGCAAAAATGTTAGAGTGCTTTTTGGAAATTGGAAAAGCAAAATTAAAATATTTTCCAAAAAACGTTAAAGCCAGAAAAGAAAAGCTAAAATAAAAGCTCCGTGAACTGAGCTTTTAAAATTATATTCTATGTTCTTTTTATGAGAAAAGAAATGATATAAACAAAAATCGGCACTTTACACAAATGTCACCCATAATCCTTCTCAAACTATTCAAACTACACACAACCTACTCAAACTACCATTATGATTTTAGTGTATTGCCTTTGAACTATAATTACTTTTACACAACTGTAATCATAGCATACATCCAATTTTGTGTTCTCTTTTAAGGCTTTCCCATGCTGAGAAAAGATGGGACTTGGAAGGAGAACTGGAGGCAACCAACATTCCCAATATAGGATTTTCCCTGTAAGATTCCAGATGCTCTATCTACACATCATTTTTCTTCTATTACAATTTTGCCACCTGGTCTTCACAATCATTAATTTTATTTCATTTGACACTCACTGACCTAAAGTCTGGAGCAACTCTAGATATGACCTGGAAATGAAAGTCCCAAGTGGTTCCTGCCTTAAGAGGCTCAGAACTGAGTAGAGAAGACAGCTGGACAATTACAGAGAATAGATAATTTTAAGAAGTCCTATGAGGATGAACTAGTATTAGGGGGAAAAAAAACTATCTCTTTAAAATGAAAACATAATTTCAAAGTATATAGAAAAAAAGTTTAATTTATACTTCTTTCTGGACTATTAAACCAAATGTTATCAAGAAATTTATTATTTTATTTTATTTTGCAATATTTAGGATAACTACAACCCTGCAAATTCTTCAGCAAATCAAAAGTGCATCAAGGGCTGTTGGGGACAAAACTTTCATAACTAAATTTTGTCATGTAATAAAATAAGATAGATAAGCTCTGGGGATATAATCATTTATAGCACAGTGACTATAGTTAACAATACTGTGCCATATTTGAAAGTTGCTAAGAGAATAGATCTTCGTATCATAAGGGAAACAAATTTTAACTATGAGGTGATGGACATTAAACTTAATGTGGTAATCATTTCATTATATATGTGATCAAATCATTATGTTGTATATCTTAAACTAGTACAATTTAATACATAAATTGTATCTCAATAAAACTGGAGGAAAAAAATGACATCCTCACTCCCCATTCTACTTTTGCAGCATAATCATAAAGAAATGCCTTTTTGCAAAAATATCTGAGCACATCACCAATTTCCTAAAGTGTTCTTCTTAATTCCTTCACATTCAAATCAGTCACTTTCAGTATCCTCACCAATTTTCTAGAGACTTGCCAGATCTACCTTGAACAATGACTATGGCTATGATGGAGCACTCTAACATCACTTTCACTGATTTCAAGAAACCTTGCAGCTTTATATCTACAATTTCCCAATCTACTTAGACTGTATGATTTTAGACAACTAACTTCTTTCCCTCTGCCCTATATTTCCCTCATCTGTAAAGTTCTAACAGTTTAAACCGTATTGTTATGAGGTTTAAATTAGGTAATTCACATAAAGTACTTTCAAGTGCCTAATAATCAACAAATGTTAGCTGCTATTATTATTTGATCAGATACGTTGCTCAAAAAACAAGAGATTAACAAAGCCATAGTCACTATGAGCAATAGAAGCTAAGAATAAGTGGGGAAGGGATTTGAGTAGAGACCAAATAAATCACTAAGAGGTCAGTTGATCAATGGTTTTTTACATTAAAATGACTTTTACAACTCTATGCAAATTCATGAATCTGGGACTCAGATAAGAAATACTCTGATAAAAAGGATTTCATCCCATTCCTGGTATAATACTGTGTAACAAGTACTATCATATGGGTACATACAATGTCCTACAAAAGTTCAGAAGGGGTATAAAGTCTGCAGTGAGGGAGAGGGTGAAACCAGGACAGGCTTGTCAGAAGCAATGTTTGAGTAAGTTAGATGACGGAGGTAAAGTTATTTCAAAGAGAGGCAACATGATGTTTAGTGATAGTAGCAATAAACAAACAAAAACCGCAAAACACAAACAAAACAAAACAAAAAACAAAACAAAACAAAATAACCCTATTTCAGGGCTATAAGTACCCAAGAATCTGGAGATACAGGCAGAGGCTAGATTATGAAGAGCACTATAAACTATCCTAAAAAGGTTGACCTCAGGATCAAAGGTTTCCTCAGGAAAATAGGGCACCACTCAAGGATTTTAAGCTTGAGCATGATAGTATCAAAATTGAGTACTCCATGAAGTGACCCGTGAGGACAGAGGTTGTATCTTTCTTGCATACCACTGTCTCAAGTCCTTTGTTTCTTCTGTAGCTTATTCTTGTGAAATTACTCACATTAAGTATCTAAAGTTGTTTTTCCCAAAAACTACTAATAGTGTCAGGGTGAGACCTAAAGAAAATGCAATCTTTAACTATGTATTACATTTTTGTATTAACACGCTAATCAGAACTGTATTCCAAAAGAGTGCATTTGAGTACTAACTGAAATTTAATAGAAAGGTCTATACTATTCCACCTATCTCTGAATCAGTTTCTCTTGTTTTAAGTGTTATAACTTTGTAATAGATTGTTTACAGCCATTACTATTCAAAAACATTTAAGATTATCCTGATTACAGGGAGGGGGACACTTGGAGACTTGGGTCCTTCTAGAAACACCCTGGAGAAGGGCAAGGAAGAAAAACCTAAATGAATAAATCAAATTCTCAGATTATATAATTAGTGTCAAGATTTATAATCAGCAACAACAAAGAGTAAAGTTAAACTGAAATCATTGATCCTTACCTGTTTCTCTCCATATATCAACAAGCACATGGACAGCAAGGAGACAGTAATAGTCTGAAAACTGTAATTCGGTTTTCAAACAGGATTTCCCTACAGGGAAAGAAAAGTCATATCTGTATTTTAACAATCCTTTAAATAGTACTGTCCCAAAGGAGTTTGTGAAAGCAAGAAAGTGACAGGAGGGAGAAGAGGAAAAGAAGATGGTAACACTGGGTAAATACCAGAAGAAAAATATAAGCCATGAATCAAAGGATTCAAAAGAATTTAAGACCACACTCAACTGGTGCAGAAGACAGAGTTCCAGAACAAAGGTGGTATCTGCAATGGTCCCAAATGAAAGCAGGAAGATTTGGAAAGGGGTTTTAGGTGAAGAAAAGAACAGAAGCCAAGGGTCATGTACAACTAAAGTAATATGCTCATCACTTCACCTGATTTTTAGAATAGAGTAATGCTGGCTGGTTATCATCTAGTCAGAAAATTTATACTTTATTACATTTACCTTGCAATCAGAAGATCATCTACTGCTGAACTAAATACTTATTTCACAATTTATAACATTCCTTTTCTTCATTTAACCAGTATTAATACCCTTAAGGCCTATATGCAGAAAATGTGATAATTATCATAAACTCTATGCAATTCATATGAGCCCCAATGTGATAAAGAGCATACCAAGTTGGGAAGAATACAGACAACTGGAAGCCAACTGTAATTATTTAAAACTCCAAGCTTAAGAAAGTCTTTGCATTTTATTACTTGGATAGTCTCCCATTTGACAGAATATTCTCCTTGTAAAACTCATGAAAACAGGGTGCTGAGTGACAGCACTGACTTCTAAGTCTTAGCAGATCAGGAACTACTGCATATTTTCATAGGTTGCTCACCAAATTCCAGTCCATGCTGGTACCTTAACATCAATTCTCTGACCACACTCAATTTCTGATTTTTATCCACAGTGTGGTACAAGCCAAGTAACCTCGTCAGCTGCACCACACACAAATGTTGCTGCAGAGCTCTGATGTCAGCAGGCAGTGCCAGCTTATCCTCTGTTGGTGTTGACAAAGGAACAACTCCAAGTAACTGATTAAAAAAAAAAAAAAAAAAAAAAAGGAGCACAGGTCTCAAAACAGAGCTAGTCTTTGGCAGACCATAATCAACAAATGTTGAAATGGTCTAGAAAAAGACATCAAGAAAAAATAAAAATTAAAACCCTTTTAATATATCGTTTTCTATCTACCAAAATTGCTAAGGTAATAATAATAATAAAAATTTCTAACAGCACACAATGCTAGCACACAACACCAGTGAAACTGGCACACTCTCATTGCTGACCAAAAGTAATCTGTCAATACCACGTGTTATAAGCACTAAAAGAGTAAAAGAATGTTGAAAATGTTTCACAAATTATAACACATAATATGCAATGTAGCAACAAAAGAGTTTAAGAAGGTAGAAAGAGCAGATTGTAAAAAATAAGGCTAAAATTATACTGATACACAAATAAATTCTTAAAGGAAACATTATACATAGAAAGGAATGGTTATGCCATATTAGTGGCCTAAAATTTTTTTAATTAAGGTTTTTTATTGAGGTAATTGTAGATTCACATGCAGTTGTAAGAAATAACATGGAGAGATCCTAGGTGCCCTTCACCCACTTTCTCCCAGAGGTAACATCTCGCATTAAAATGTTTTTCATTCTTTAAATTTGCTAAGAATATTCTTAAAACACCAGTTCCAGTTACACATTTATTAAACATAGGCTTACTTTAAGTCACTTCTAAAATCCTATTAAGATGACAGGTAAAGAACAAAAAAGCAATCAACCCACAAATCAAGAACACATGAAGAGAGGGCAGCAAATAAAAAACATTACCAAAATTTCAAAATATAAAAAGCAGAAGAGTGAGTGGTAAGTCATAATCAATGCAGAGGGCCAAGAAAGCTGAAATCTAACAGTATATATACAAAGGGGAGGCACCAATAAGCAGCAGCCACCCTGTCCTTTAAGACTCCAAATTAGCAGCACCATATGTTTCTGAAAGCTAAGTTGCTGATGTAGCTAAATAGGAGGATTGCTAAATTCTAAGAAGTTAGACCCCCTCCCCAGGCTCAGAGATTGACATCCTCAATTCAGCAGAAGCTACTCCCAGTAGAAGCTGGGATGTTACTCCCAGGAGAAGCTGGACCAGACATTGCAGACACAGGGACAGCAGGCACCACTGGACACAGGGTCAGAGGGAGATTTTGCTCTGTCAGTGATGTGAGCCCTGGCTCCCCTCCCTCCTCCCAACCAGGTCTCAGAATGCTCCCAGCCAAATGTTCAAGTCCCCAGAGTATTTCTGAGATGAGGGATGACAGGCACAGTGTAAGGGAGGCTTCAGGGAGATTAGAACAGATCCATTACCTCATGTTTTAGACTACACTAATTATATAGAGTTTTATACTTTTATGGTTCTGTCAGATTGGGGTGAATAAAGCAAAAAGATATTAACTTCAAGAAAGTAGTATAAGAAAGGTAATCCGCATATGTGAAGTAGCTCAGCTGTGACTATCTACAACCTTAAAAATATAAATACTGAATAATTACTGAACTATATTAGGGTGACAATATGTAAGGAGAGAAGTGGGATATTCTAAACAAAATGATTGCCTTCCACAGCAGGGCACCAGAGTTGAAGATTGTAACTGTAAAAATAAGCAAATAGCTATATAAGCCTATAATTGAGATATATGAAGGTATATATATTTCAACAGGAGAGTTGAAAGTGTTTTGCCTGTACAAACCCAGAACCAGGGGTGGAAATGTGATAGGGCAAACAGCTGGTCTTGTTTTTCAATTTAAATCTTGTAGTATCATTTAACTTTTTCAGTTTTACATGTTATTTTTCCAAACAAGTAAAAGTGTATATAAAACCCCATGCAATTTCACATCGGTAATGATTTTGCTTCAATTTGTCTACAATTGTATGAATTTTAATTTTAAATATGATCAGATAGTCATATTTGTAACAAAGATACTGCAGCACTTTCATGTTTTTGATTAAATGCCCATATGGTTTCTACTTCCACTCTTCCATTCTTGTAAGCCATTTTACCTTTTAGTTATGTTTATTATTAGTGCCCTCTTTAATGCGAGAGAATCTTGCAAACAGGTTTTGTCATGGAACAATGCATTCATTCTTTCATTCTAATCTGTACCGTTTGACTACTACACAAACAGCTCCTTTAAAAATTGGACTCATGTTATTGTTTAGCTTAAAACTGTAAGGCATAGGAAACAGAAGATATAAACACTTCGGTGAGTTTTTTTTTTCTGAGTAAGCCACTTCAGGATAAATGGACTCCTGCCTCACTCTTAGAAGCTAGTCCCATTTTTTAAAAATTTGGCTCCTAATTCATTGGGGCAATAGTTCTCAGCTTGAACCTTACTTGGACAGTTTGCATTCTCTGACAAACATACTGCTGAGTGGCAGGATTTTTAGCTATTGAAGTCATCCTACATTTAAAAAGATGTGGCAGCAAAATTATTCCTCTCAAAGAAAAATTTACATAGGACTACAAAACTCCCTGCAACAGCTTTCAATCCTTTGTCTCACAGAACAATGACTACGTTCAACTGGTAGTAGTCCAGCACTTCTAGAGAGTTTCTCTCAATAGATTATTACTGTATGGGATCACATGAGCTGACCTAAGATTTTCAAGCATACAAATAAAGAAGAGCTGCTGGTACTAGATTCATATCAGCAAAGCGTTCTGAATCTCAGGTGAAAGCAGCATAAGTGTTCCTCTAATACAGCCCATCATTTGATGCCTCAAACTGTTAAGACGGTGAGCACTGTAAGACGTGAAGTCCCCTACCTTAGCACTTAGCACAGAATATGGGCAACAACATTTACACATGGTTCTAGATACTGCTTAAATCTCTCCAATAACATGAAACTCATTTCCAAAGAATTCTGACTACTAAAAAGATCTTTTTCTCACTGTGCCAAATTCTGCATTCTCTGTAACAACTTCTGGCTGGTCACAACTCCACCCCTCTTGTACAAGGGAGCTTTACAAACATGAGAAAGGAAGTGTACTCTGTCCTCACCAGACCAAATTTCTCTTCCACTCAACCACTTCTCCCTTCTATGCCAGAACCCTCTTCTCTGGATGTTCAGTTTATCCAGAAAGCTCCAAAGCTTGGCTTGAGCCCTGTAAGCACAGCATGCCAAGAAAAGCTTTACTAAACCAAAGGGAATGGTGTCAGTCATTTCAGAATCCAGGAGAGAACACTGGCTACTTACCAGCTTGGGAATCCATCTGCTCTAAATGTGTAACCTCCACCCTGCCCTGGAAGACTGAAGATACGGACACAATACAAATACTCCAGTCATCTCCCCTGTGATCCCAATGTGCGCTGTTCACGCATGGGGATGACAGAAGGCCTTCTGGAGGGTGGTGGCAGCCCTGTGATAGGAATACTTCTAACCTTCACTAATGAGAGATTTTTAATGAGAAAGCTGACCAAAGTCACATACAAATACTTTCTTTATACATGCCAGTACTTCTTTATATGGTACTCTATCCAGCTCAAGCACACTGTTCTTCCACTTCGTACTCTGTCACTACCAAGAATATTATGGGCTAAATGTTAAAACCTTTAGTATGAATAGGGTATGAAGTTCTGATCAATGGGTAGCCAACTGACCCAATACATGTTGGAATGGATGAGGAGTCTAGTCTTTATACATGCCAGTACTTCTTTATATGGTACTCTATCCAGCTCAAGCACACTGTTCTTCCACTTCGTACTCTGTCACTACCAAGAATATTATGGGCTAAATGTTAAAACCTTTAGTATGAATAGGGTATGAAGTTCTGATCAATGGGTAGCCAACTGACCCAATACATGTTGGAATGGATGAGGAGTCTAGAGAGAAGGTTTTCCATTTTGGTATGTAACTGATTTACCTTGGTTCATTTACATCAGAAACTTCCCAATACAAGACAATTAACTACAATGTCAAACCCTGGATTCCATCCCAGAAAAGAAAAACATTAATAAAAAATAGCAGAAATCCAACGGAAGTCTAGAGGTTACTTAACAGTAATGTACCAATATCAGTTTCTTAGTTTTGACAAATGTGCCATGGTAATTTAAGATGTTAATAAAGCTGGGTGAAGGGTCTACTGTAACTTCTGTAGTATCTTCATAACTTTTCTATAAATCTAAAATTATTCTAAAATAAATAGTTAATTTTTTTAAAAGCCTTTAAGACTTAAAGTTTCAGACTGCTTCAGCAAGAGCAGTCATAATTTGAAGTAATCAGTTATTAATTGTTACAGTTTTCAGCAAATCAGACAAGACATTTAAAAGAGTCCATTGGATTTCATCAAAATTTAAAACTTTGCTCTACAAAGGTGCCTGTTAAGAGGATGAAAAGACAAGTTACAGACTAGGAGAAAATATATGAAACCATGTATCTAACAAAAGACCTGTACCCAGAGTATCTAAAGAATTCTCAAAACTCAATGTAATAAAAACAAATCAACCAGAAAATAAGCAAAAGACAAAAAATAGATATTTCACTAAGGAGAATATAATGGTGGCAAATAAGAGAAGATGTTCAAAATCATTAACCATTAGGGAAATGCACAACAAAACCATAATGAATTATCATTACACACCTTATCAGAATGGCTAAAACAAAAAATTCTGTCAACACTAAATGTTGACGAGGATGCAGAGAAACTGGTTCACTTATACACTGCTAACAAATTTAAAATGGTACAGCCATTGTAGAAAACTTAGGTAGTTTCTTGAAAAAACTAAACATGTGGCTACCAGAAGCCACAGCAGTTGCACTACTGGGCATTTTTCTCCAAGAAATGAAGACTTATGTTTACACACACACAAAAAAAAACATGCACACAAATGCTCATAGCAGCTCTACTTGTAATAGTCAAAAACTGGAAACACCCAGATGTCCTTCAATAGGTTAAAGAAATTGTAGTGCATCCATACTGTGGAATACTATTCAGCAATCAAAAGGAATGCACTACTAATACATGTGACAGCATGGTTCAATCTCCAGGGAACTATTCTGAGTGAGAAAAGTCAATCATGAAAGATCACACATAGTATGATAACTTTCTCAAAATGCTGTAATTATAGAAATAGGATACATTAGCAGTTGCTGGAGGATGGGGATAGGGAATGGCAGAGGTGCTGGGAGGTGGTTGTGGGTAAAGAAGAGTAGCAGATGGGATCCTGGTGGTGGAACTGTTCTGTATCTTGACTGTGTTGGTGGTCACATCAATCAATGCACACTATATACTGTACTAGATACACATACAACATGCCACACAAAGACAAATGAATGCATGTAAAACTGGTGAAATCTGAGTAAGGTCAGTTGATTTTATCAATGTCAATTTCCTAATTATGCTTTTATACTATAGTTATGCAAGGTGTTACCACTGGGGCAAAGTGGATGGAGGGTATACAGAGCTGTCTTTATTATTTCCCTTATAACTGCATGTAAATCTACAAGTATCTAAAAACAAAAACAAAAACCATAAACACCAAAAAAGGAGAATCCACATACCTACCACTTATTCTCATTGTGGCTTATTTTAACAAGAACTCATGCTTTAATCTGATAGCACCTAGAATACTTGGCTTGATACAGCAGTCTATCTTGATATGTCATGTTCACTGCTATTACACATTTTGTCCAAACCCTTAACCTAGTTGCAGTAAATTCAACCACCCAACAGAATTCTGACCCATACTTACTTTTGTACACTGTGTTGCAGGCAAGAGATCAACAAACACCTTGAGGTCTGTAAAACAACAAGGTTTATCCCCAAACTTTTTAAAATACTGGAACATTAATTCTTCCGGATCACCTAAGAGAGAGAGAAAAAAAAATCACTACATTATTCATGGATTGAAGCAATTTCTTCTAATTTAAGTAAGGGGTCTGATTTGAAAAATATTTATTTCAATTACATTAAGATATTGCTTCAGTGAGAATGACAATAAGGGCTAGAAGATGGATTGCCCAATTAAAAATAAAATAAACATATACTTTAAAAAGGGAGTCAAATCTTACAAACTCAGTTTAATCTGTTATTACACTTAGGAAATGTCAAGTTTTTCATTAAATTAAAATGTAAATAGTTAAAAATGTTGTTAAAAGTTTAAATCAAGACTTTATCTGCAAACATTAAACAAACATGCTTCTGTCCACGTCAGTTCCTAAACTACTTAACACGTATTAAGTAAATGTTAACTAAGTTAAAGGCAGTATTTGCTTAAAGACTCACTAACAGAAGAGAAAATTAAGGGGCAGAGCCCAGGCCAACTCCCACAATGTCCCTCACTATGGAAAATTTAAACCCAGATATGGAGAAGGTTACTGGTTCATTTTATTTTTTCCCCCAAATTAAAAACAAAAAATCAAATGCTCTCAAATTATACTAGATTTAAGAAGCAGATATTTTTAACCCTAGGTATCTATAAGATTTTTAGATCTCGGTTTCTATTCACATGTTTCTGAGAACAGAGACCCACAGCTTTCATCAGATTCTCACAGGACTCTAAACCAAAAGAGACTAAAAATCATTCACTGGTCTGGTAAAAGAAAAATTTGTGGAGACTAGACAAATTCACATATTTGTAAAATGTGAGCTGGTGAGAGGGAAGAGAAAGGTAAGAGATGGATATAGCATGTGTCAAAGCAAATCCAAATACTTATAGACAGCTTTGGAAAGAAAGCAATTCTTTGGAATCTGAGGATCACGTGTTTGCAATTCTGGAACTAACAGACTGAGGTAGACCCAAAGAAAAGAGTCAACATAGAATTTAAAATTGGTTGTGAATAACCTACAAAGAGAACAGTAGAGAAAAACCCAGTTAATTTTAGAATGAGCTGCAAGAACATTAATTATGATTAAAATGGACAGAGATTATCTAGGATAGGCTTTAGGTTAGAAGTGCTCATCATCAGGACAACTGTTCCCTAAAATAAAAAAAAAAAGCCTTTTAAAGTTAATCAACTTTAAACGAGAACCTAATTTCCATAATGAGTAGGAAAAAAAGGTTTCTTTGGGAGTTTATCCTAAAAAATGAAACTGAAAAATTCTAAGTTTATTATCTTAAACTTAACAAAATGTAGGGTATATGAGCTAATTCTCAGCATGAGGAAAGAATTGCTGCTTTTTGCTGGGAGGGGTGCTATTTTTCCAACAAAACTGTGAACTGGCATAATATGATACGTTCACTTCTTGTGCAGTATACTCAGAACCACTTGACAAAAACATCTTAGGTCTTCACATTTCCTGAATGCCTCTCTTAATGCTTTGCTATCCATTATTCTTTTCTCCTATCTTGTCAGTATCCTTGTACATTTTCTCTTCAACTGTTAACTGCTCTAACTCTGCCAGATCTTCTTCCTTCAATAGCTTTGTGAGTGTGTAGAGGAAGACTTTCAAGAAATCTTTCATCTACTTCATGAAATCCTGAAATTTTTTAAAAACTGGCTATTTTACTTCAAAATTGATTTTGGCATTTTTGTTGGGTCAGCAAAAGAATGCCCAACAAAGACTGATGGAACAAGGAGCGATGCTAATGTTAAGTCAAGCTGAATACGTGATTGAGAGCTAAATTTGTAAGTGACCCATTCATTAGTAAATATTTTCAGATTATGAAGATGTTTGCTTTCCAAATACAACTTTGTCACTGTAGGCCTTAGACAAAGAAAACTGCACTTAGGTCTTAAGGGCATCCTGTATCTTTTCCAGGATTTCTAAACATCATTACAATTTCTTACCCAGTTTGTACTCATCATTAAAACCTTGACGACGTAAACGTCTAATCAACTCCAGTTTAGCAAGATGTGGTCCTCGGAGATGGCGAGAGCTTTTAGATTCTTCTGTTATTCGATCTTCTATAAACTTCACAGCTTCTTCTGCAGAATAATGTACTTCTCCTTCTAAAGAGCTAGGTATAAACACATGAAAATGGTATTTTGTGCCTCTACTGCCTGTCCCAAAATTTAAAATCAAGCAAAACTGATTTCAAGAAGCGAATTAAAAAATAAGAAAAAATATTTTGATAATTATGAAATAATAGAAATAGAAATAAGAGAGCTATGAGCAATCTCTGACACATAACATGGCATATGATTACTCCCCATTTTTGACATTTGATTACTGAAGAGTGACTAACAACCTCTACCTTTCTTAAAAAAAAATGAATAAATCTGTATTTATAAAATATTGCCTAATAAAAGTATAAATACATTTTATTTTATTGCTTGAAGAATGAAGGCTGAGAAAAATTAATGACTTAGTTATTATAAAGTAAGCAATAGCTTATAAATAGTATCTCAAGTCCTACTTCCATATTCACTTTTTAAAAAGATTCATTTATGTTTATTGTAGTATTGTTTATCATAGCACCCTCCCCACCCCACACCCCACACCAAAAAAAGGAAATCAGCAACAATCCAAGTGTACATCAACAAGGGACAGGTTAAATGAATTATGGTACATTTCTAAAACAGAATTCTCTAAGTCACTAAGAATGAAACAGATCTATATGTACCACATATGGAAAGATGCCCAAGTATTTTAAAGGGAGGAATACCAAGCTGCAATCCACTATGTCTAATACGATCCCATTTTTATGTTAAATAGTAATAATTATGTTAGTATATGGATGGAAATAAATCTGGAAGAAAAGATACCAAACTGTTTTCAAGAGTTATTTCTGGGTCAATTACATCTCAATAAATCTGGAAAAAGAAAAAGAAGTTATTGTGGGGATGGCAGGACAACTACACTTTCTACGCCATACATTTCTACACTAATTTAAGAATTTTATAATGACCACATATTTATTTTCTAACTAAAATAATGGAAATGGAAAAAACCTTACTTTGAAAGAGATATGTTACTGAGACAGAAAAAGAATTCTAGGCTTACAATGAAATCCTTTTGCACAACTTATTAAAAAGTGCCGCTGTAATTCAGGAAAAAGACAACTTACTGTTCACCTTCAGCAGGAGGAGTCCAGGCCTCTTCAATCAGTCGAAATACAGAATCGAAATAAGTCAGATAGAACTGCCAGTCATCTGAGCTAAAATTAGATTGAATGGTGCACACAGGATTAAACCCAAGTTGTGACAAATCTACCTTAGGAACCATGACATTCAACTTATTTTTAAGTTCTGTTTTAGTCTTTACTAGGAGACACCCAACCCTCCCTCTGGGTTTCCTCTGCAGCCCTAAAAGGCAACATTCCAGAGGCATTTTTAGGACTTTTAAAGTCCTAAGTAAGAAACTTTTAAAGGACTACCTTTACTTCCACAAAATGACCAAGTGTAGAAAACTAATATTCTTAACAGAAAGGTCCCCCATTAGCACTTCCTAAATTGGGATGGAGGGGTCTCTTTTAGACCAATGTTGAACTGGACAGTCCAATTCATGAATTTCATTGTTTAACTTTGAAGACCTAACACTCAGCACCCTGGTGGCAAAAGTACCATTTTATGTCTTTACTAATAGATGAAGGCACATCAAAAACTTCAAAAATATCTAGGATACACAACTGAAAGATTTCACTTTATGCCCAGAAATATCAAAGAAAACAGACAAAAAAATCAACAGTGACATCTGAAAGTCCCTAACAGTCCAAAAAGAAGCATCTACTCACTTTTTTAGTAAGAGGCGCCGGGAAAGGGCATTGCACTCTGGCCACTTGTTCAGCTTCTTGTACATAGCCATGCATTTATTTTCCCGACTCTGAATCTCACTTGTCAACTTCTCTACAATTAAAAGTTACGAAATGTGTAAGCTGGTTTCTTATCTGCTTAGAAACCAGATTAAAGTCTAAACACAAGACAGAAAATGTCACATTTTCTTATTCACTTTCTTAGAAAATGGGACTACTGTTAGATACAAACTACTATCTTACTACAGATTATACTGAAGAAAAAAGTACATTTATGATACTAAACTTTTATAATCATTTTTCCTGTAAAATTCAAGGATCTAGAATGTATTGAGTTAAAGATCTAGCATATGGGATTCACTTATAAAACCCCAACAGCATCCTTGGACTGGTATATTTAGTCCTTAGACAGACTTCCCATCCATAGAGTAGGAAGTCTGGACAGGAATAAGCCAGAACATTGAATAAGCCTGGACTAGAATGGGATGAGGAAGGTAAAATGTTACCAGGAAGATAAAGAAGAACAGTGATGAATCAAATTCTCTACCAACAGCTGGGAAAAGAAAAACTAGGACAATATTTCTCAACAAATTAGATTTACCTTGTCTCTGTAGAACAGCTTAGCAAACTAAGGATACTACTAATTACACCACAATTTCCTATAGAGAATCTAAACTTTATCCATAGAACTACAATCTAGCTGAATAAAAACAAAAAGGCTGACTTGAACCAATCTGCAAGGAGGCTGAAGTTAGAGTAAGTAAAATTTAAAAAAAACTACCCCTACATTTTATGTAATTAAAATACTTAACAATGACTATTATAGTTTTATTTCTGCACACAACTTAGTAGAGGATGTACACACTTGTATGAAACAAAGTCTTTTAAATGACTGTACCTAATGAGAGATCTGAGGCTACTCATGCAGTTAGTTACTCCCAATGACTGTAAAGACATAATTTAAGAATCAGGCTTCTGAAAACATTAACTACATTTCCAGGACTTTCTTCTAAGGAAATCATCATGTTTAAATATTTATGAACCAAAATCTTTGTTACAAATGTCCCCAAACAGGGGAATGGTTAAATCAATCTATGAGGTCATACAAATCAGTTTTCCAACAATAGAGGGAATAACCATTTTCATAATGATGGAAAAAAGCTAATTTCTTCAACATGAAAAGTAAGAAGAGTAACAAAATTTTTAGAAATATGAAAAGGATAAAAGGAAAAGCAGCTCAGAGAAGAAAATACTAACTGCTTTTAAACAAATGAAAAAATAATTTTCCTCCCTCATAACTGAATAAAAACTGTATGGTATGTTTTACCTATCAGGCTGAAAAACATGAAGTTTGATATAAGTTTGATAAAACAGGTTGGTTAAGCACACAACAAAACAGGATCTCTTACATACAGATAGTAAATACAGATGATGAGAATACACACCATCACCTCTTGGAGGGCAAGTTGGTTTGTAACAAAGACGTTCCTTGCAAAGAGCCTACATATCTGTCAAGGACTGATTAAGCAAATGTCTACATTTATACTATGGAACATTGGGCAGTCAATAAAATTAGGTAGTGAGTAATATATCACTGTTAAGTTAAAAAAACAAACAATGGGTATAAGAGTATGCAGAGCAAAGGCCACAAACTCAAAGGCCTTTATAGGACAGGCAGATAAACAAAACATGTTTATATCCAGAGTATAAATTCTGATTAGATGCATTAAATTTAAAAATCTTTAAAAACATTTTTTTAAATAAAAACATGTACTAACTGAATAAGATTCCTTTATGTGCTGGTACAGAATGTTCTCATTTTTGGTTTAAGAAAAGGGGTAGGGAGAGACATTTTTAGAAGGACATCTAGAATAAGTAACTGGAGAAGAATATAGAGGGCACAGGGCTGGAATCTGGGGTATAATCCTTCACAAGTCTTTAATTTTTTTGAATCCATGAATTATTTTCAATCAAAAAATATTAAAAAAAATAAATATACAACTTACAGACAAATCTGGAAGAACATAAAATGATCACAAGTGATTTTTTAATGTTCTTCTATCTTTAAGTATGAGGAAGAAATTTTCCACAATAAACATTTTTCATGTTTAAATAGGAAAAAAAGCTTTCAGGAAACTTTAAAAATTACCTCCTAATTTTCCTCTGATGACATCCAAGGCTTCCTGGTACTTTCCTAAACGTTCCAGGATCATATAATAAAGTTCAACCTTACAGAAAAAAACAAAAGTGCAAACACTGAAACTTTTCAATAATAAAAAGATACTCATTTGTATGTTTTCAAAAAGTTACCTAATGGAAAAGAACACTATCTTCAAATGAGCTCAAACTAACAGTAAGAATCAGACAACAGTATCTCCCCTCTACATCTCAGCCTGGAGTGCTTGCTAGAAAGAGGTCCATGTTCATTACACCTAGGCTGGATGTTTCCAAAGCTTCACATTTACACAAAAGGCAAGAGGGAGGACCCAGCTCACTAAATGGAATAAAGCAACTGTTTGTAATATTGTAACAATATTGTAGCAATATCAAAACCTGCAAACATAAAAGCAAGGTTTAAATTACTCACTTCAGCCTCTGCTTCTATCTTGTCCTCTTTCACCATTTTTTCTACCATTCTCTCAGCGAGGGGCAGAAACATTGTTTTTGAGAGGTTTTCATCCTGTGCCGATATAGACTAGAGGAGGAAAAAAAATGCTTCATTCTAATTTCTCCTCTGCTTACTCTATTTACATTATTACCTACAGACCACTACTGTGATTCCTGAACATAATTATCAAAGCACTATCAAATATCAGACCTAATCTGCATTTGCCAAGAAGATACATTACAGAGTAGTTTGTTTGTAAGAGATTTCTTTACTAAAGACCTATTATTCTACGCATTCTTCAAGTACTCAGTTTCTACAATATGAACCTAACGTTTAAATACTTTTACATAGATTTATACATTTTTCTAGAAACATGTTAAGAGGGGTTATGCCTATACTGTTTATTATATTTAAAGGGTACCAGTGTTTGAAAAGCCTTTTAGTTGTCTGTTTGAGAGGTTCACATATAAGAAGGGAAATCCCAATTCCTTCTATTTATACAGTTTACTATTACTTGTTACCTTCGACTGATAATCAAAATCAATGCATGATATTAACAATTTTAACACAGTAAGAGATTCTGCTCAGACTCATTTACCCCTGTAAAAGACTTTCAAGGCATGCTTATTTTATAGATAAACTAAGGTTACGAGATTACCCAACAGCTCTCCAAGATGCGTGGTAAAGCCAGTATCTGAATGTAAATGGGTATCTCTATTCTTAACTACTACATTTTAACTCCTTTTTACCCATCCTCTCCTAAACAATACCTCATTTTGGGCCTGACAGTAACTCTGGGAGATGAGCATCTCCATTCTTCAAGAGCAAACTGAGGCTCAGATGCAGAAGTAATAAAATGAGGCCACCCAGTTCAATGACCTGTTCACTAACAAACACTACTGTCTTGAAGACAAACCTCAAGTCAAAATAGTGAACATTTCAAGGCTCCCACTTCATCAAATAACCTAGTAATGGATCTAGATCTGTGCTACACACAAACCAACAGGTCAACTCATAAAGAATAGCAAAACTCCCCAAACTCAAAAAGTCAACTGACAGAATATAAAGTACCTGTTTGACACATGCTGCAACACATTACCCACGATGTTCAGAAGACACATTAAAGACAATAACTATACAAAAATAAAACAAATCTCTATCTCACTAGAATACCATACTCACTTGCATAATTAAGCTCATCACAGACCAAAAGTAGTAAGGGTTTTTGGGGACAATCTTATATAGAGCCATGCCAGCCTGAAAGACAGAGGGCCATAAATACTTAGTTTAGAAAACATCATACAGAAAGCAGTCAATGATCTAGACATGCCGCAAGAAGCTTCCTAGGACATAGCAACATGTTTACATATTCCAGTTACTATAAATGCCAAGTGACTTGACAGAAATGCTCTACTGGATAGCAATACAGGTACTCACAAAAATGCATTTTTATAACATCAGGAGTGATACTTCACTTTTTAAGCCAACTTTTCTCCATTTAAGTCCCAGTATTTATATAAAAGACTGTAATCCAATATAGTTCTGGTAGAATACCAAGCAAATACAATTTGGCTTAAAAATGTGTGTCAATAAACAAATTTCACTGAAAATACCACAGTAAACAGTTAAAGTAAAACAAAAAAATTCACACAATATATTTAAACTTCAAAATTATAAAAGATTACTGACATCTTCCAAAAACTAATTTTTAGGTTAGGAAAACAGTTGTATTCTTTCAAGATACCATTAATTAGAACTGAAACATTTCATTGTGAAATGCACTACATGTAAATACTTAAAAGGAGGGATGTGACAAAACAGAACAAAGTAGATCTATTCATGCATAACTAAGAATCTGCCCATAATTAGCCAACTACTAATCAATGCTAAGAACTCCATCAGCTAATTATCAGTTACTATTTTGTGTTTTTTAATCCTTCATGTATCTTCAATCCATTTGAAAAATTCATGGAGCTTCTATTAAGTAGAAGGAAATGTCTACTCCTGCTACAAAGATTGAGTCCTGGTCCCAAAGGCACTTATAAGCTAGAGGAAGAGATAAGACAAATACTCAAATGACTAAAATATATTTGCCAATAAAAATAAACATCCTATACAAAAACACCCTGGTAGGGTTTTCCCAAGAAAGGCAAGGTTGTTCGTTTATTCCTTTTTTTATTTCTTTAAGGGAAAATAGGGAAGGGAGCTTTATCAGTAAAGACTTCTCCGACTTAGCAGTCTTTCAGATGGACCTTGAAGGTCAAAACAAATGTCTACAGGCAAAGATCAGGGTAAGGATACATATACAAATGCAAATATTTAGGGTGAATGGGTAAGTGAATCAATCAATTCTAGGTAGGGGCAAAGTAAGTCCAAGAAACATTAAAGAAAGAAAAGATGTATGCAGACAAGAACAAGTAGGATATTTGGCTAAAATAAAGGATTAAGAGGAGGAAGAGGGAAAAGGTCTGAAATAAATTGAGGTACCTTTCTTGCAAAGCATCAAAAAGAAGTTTAAGGCATTACACAGAAGGCAATAGTACATATAAATCTACACTCTTGTAGAAAAAGTATGTTACTGTGAAGAAAGAGAACAGGAAGAAGTGAGGCAGTGAGAAGCAAGCTGAGGTAGATCAACTAGAAAAGAGATCTCAAAACACTGTGGAGGCAGAGTCAAGACGCTATAGAGACAAAATAGAGATACAGCTTAAGGAGAGCCTAAGATGCTTGTGGTCCCTGCTTCTAATACCGAACTGCTCTGGATGAACAGAAAAATAAGTGTTAGAAAATCAATTTTTACTTGTTAATTTGGGGAAAGAAAACATTTTTATAATGATGTGCAGAAATGAAAAGGAGTAGAATATAATATTAACATGAATTTTCAACATACAGGGTTAAGACAAAAATTCAAGCCCACACCCTACAATCTTGCAGACATTAATGTTCTGCTGATACAGAAAACTTGACACAGACAAGTCTGAAAAGCATGGCTGTATATTGGTGACTCAAAGAATGGGAATGTCATTTACAGAAAATGAAAGTCTAATTATCATATGAATGACTAGCAATCTTTATTCAACATGGTTTTAAATACTACCTGCCAGAGATGTCATTTGGGGCAGTAAAAGTCCTTAGGTTTTGATTCCCTGGTTTCCCTCTCCTACCTCTACCAGTTTATGCAAATTGTTCATCTATTTAGTAAATATTTACTGTGCAGATGCTATTCTAGGCACTGAGGATTCAGCAATAAACAAAAACCCTCACAATAATAGTACAGCATGGAGAATATAGTCAATGACTCTGTAACATCTTCCTATGTTAACAGACAGTAACTGCACCAGTGGGGTTGAGGAGTTAGTAATACGGATAACTGTTGAACCACTGTGTTGTATATTTGAAACCAATATAAGATTGTATGTATATCAACAATACTTCAATAAAAAAAGCTCTCATCCTCATGAAACATGACATTTAATTTGTAAAATACATGTATTCTCAGACTCACACACCAACTTCAAAGCATACATACAAAGAAATTCTAACTACCTTAAGCAGTAACAAAGGTAGAATAAAAATTCAACATTCCATTCTACCACACTTTAGTACTTCATTCTTTCAATACAATGTAATGAATTAATGTAAAAGCCAGCTAGTTGAAACATATTAAAATTCTGTTTAAGTGGCAGATTTTTTTCCCCAAAATTTACCTTAATATTGCTACTGTATGAATTTGTCTTTTACTGTTATTTTGTGGTGACTGTGTGTGTAATACATATATATTTCAAATATATATTTTGTGGGATCATAAAATTAACACGTTCTTTAAAAAAAGTTAAGAAATCATGATGGAAGAAAAAAGAGAAGTATTCATAGCCCTGTATCCTGGTAACATTTTGGCACGCATATATCCTTAGAGATATATCCTTTATTAAGGAGGGTGAATGTGAGGAAGGTGGGAGAAGGCCATCTTACCACCTATTCTTCTCAATTCATATATATTGGGAACATCTTTCTATGTAAATAAAGCTACACAGTACTTAAGGAGGATGGTGTGCTGCATGTATTCTACCTGTATTTTACACACATGAACCATAATTTCTTTAACTATATCATTAATAATGGACATTTAATATACTTTGTTTAAAACATATTCCTAGAAGTAAAAATATATTAAGGATTTACATGTATATATGTTAGTGTTGCCAATTTTTTTTTAAATGCCCATTTTGCATTATAAGAAAAATTATAATCTGTGAATACTTTTCCTAAGAATATACTCCATTAGTAAATAAAATCAAATTTCTTCAAAGGATTATATTTGGACCAAAAAAACTTCAACTTAAAAATCTGCATGAGCAAATACAAAGATTGATTTTAAAGAGAAAGGATCTATATTAATATAGTTTCTTCTACCTGCCTTGATTTATCTGTTGTTATAGTTTGATATTTCGAGCAAAGAACAAGCCAAATAAAAGCCCAGTAAAAAAGCTTTGCTTTTAGAAGTCATTATGCCCACAAAGCATTTTAAAAATAAATACTAGCTTGACATAATAATCTTTCGTGGGCTTAGCAGTACAGGTTTCATTTCCCTAAGATGTCAGCTTTCCCCACCCACTAGTCCACACCTGTGTCCAGATGAGACTCCTTCACATGTATGTAAGAACACCTAAAATGTGCTAACTGGCAAATAACGCTGCCTCTGGCCAAAAAAAAAAGCAGGATCCCAAGCAATGGGGATTTTTCCCTTAGTAGATTTTTAAATCTCAGGAGGCTACAAACAGTTAAATTTTACAAATTAGATGTAAACTTTAATCTTTCTATAGTCTGTTCATTTTTTGCTCTGTGATTTATGCTCCTTTTCCGAAAATGTAACAGCACTCTGTTAGAGGAGGACAATTTGAAGCTGACTTACCAGGAATAAACAAAACATACCATGAGGCCACAAAAGAACAATCAAGTTTTCCCAAATAAAACATTTAAAAAACTTGAATAATAATTCCTCGTTAAAACACACAAAGAAAATAACTGGCTGAACTCCACGCACAAATACATAGATTAAGTTCTACACATATATGTGCATGCACACACATGCATGCACACAGACCACTGTGGTTAAAAGCACAGTAAAGAGACTTTTACCTCTAACAGAAAATCCCGTAGCCCGGGAGGTTTGGGATCAAGTTACCTGTTGCATTTTCTTGTATTCGCCCACTCTGGCATAGGCCATGAAGAGGTGAGAGTGATATTCCTCACTGTTGGGGACTTTCTTCACAGCTGCCTCATAGAGTTTTGTAACTAACTCCGCTAAGATAAAGAGAAATAGGATTTTAATTACTAAAGCATGACTTAAATCTTAACAGCATTTAATTTTTTTCCTATTTGGAGGAAATAGATGTTCCCTATCACTCAAGACAAAGACAATTTATATTTGATTTGCCTCATCTGATAATTACTCTTTTCTTGGTTAGGTGTTCATGGATGAAGCACAGAATAGGTTAGGCCTCTCCATCACATTTACAATATATAAGACTCCCCAGGAGTTAACCTCTCTGTCTCCTCCCTAACTCTTCCCCCCAACATTTTATGCTCTAGCCACATCAAACCATTTGTACTTCTACGAGATTCTCTGTGCTGTATCATACCTCCATGCCTTTACACAGTGCTTGCTGCATGGGGTCTCCTTGCCTCTCTTTTTTTACTTCCTTCCCTGAACACCATCTCTGCTCCTCCACCCCAGTTTCATCGCTGCTTCCCTATGCAATCTTTAAATCTTTTAAAAACTCTCTTATAGCATCTATTAATATATAAAGCAGTATACTGTCTACTGATCTATTCCATCCCTTATAGACTATGAATAAGGACAAAAAGAGCACTTTTTTAAATAATCTTATTATTTTTTTGATTTAGGTATCATTAATCTACAATTACATGAGGAAAATTATGTTTACTAGACTCTCCCCATCACCAAGTCCCCCCCACAAACCCCATTACAGTCACTGTCCATCAGCGTAGTAAGATGCTGTAAAATCACTACTTGTCTTCTCTGTGTTGCACAGCCCTCCCCATGCCCCCCCTCCACACTACACATGCTAATCGTAATGCCCCCTTTCTTTTTCCCACCCTTATCCCTCCCTTCCCACCCATCCTCCCCAGTCCCTTTCCGTTTGGTAACTGTTAGTCCATTCTTGGGTTCTGTGTTTCTGCTGCTGTTTCGTTCCTTCAGTTTTTTCTTTGTTCTTATACTTCACATATGAGTAAAATCATTTGGTACTTGTCTTTCTCTGCCTGGCTTATTTCACTGAGCATAATACCCTCTAGCTCCATCCATGTTGTTGCAAATGGTAGGATTTGTTTTCTTCTGATGGCTGAATAATATTCCATTGTGTATATGTACCACATCTTCTTTATCCATTCATCTGTTGATGGACAGTTAGGTTGCTTCCATTTCTTGGCTACTGTAAATAGTGCTGAGATAAACATAGGGGTGCATCTGTCTTTTTCAGACTGGGCTGCTGCATTCTTAGGGTAAATTCCTTGAAGTGGAATTCCTGGGTCAAGTGGTATTTCTATTTTGAGCTTTCTGAGGAACCTCCATACTGCTCTCCACAATGGTTGAACTAATTTACATTCCCACCAGCAGTGTAGGAAGGTTCTCCTTTCTCCACATCCTCAGCCAACATTTGTTGTTGTTTGTCTTTTGGATGGTAGTGAGTGAGGTGTTATCTCACTGTGGTTTTAATTTGCATTTCTCTGATGATTAGCAATGTGGAGGTCTTTTCATGTGCCTGTTGGCATCTGAATTTCTTCACAAAAAGAGCACCTTTTATCTTTGATTCTGATATGGTATTTGTCATAGAGAAACATTCAACCAATATTTGTGGAATAGATAATTTCTTAAAAAATGCCAGAGGAGAATCCATATCCCTAAATCAACACATCCCTAAACCATCAGATATCATACCTCAACTCTTTAAGTTTTATCTTTTATAAGAATGAAAAGCAAAGCCAGACTATGAAGTAGCAAGTTCTATCCACTAGACTGGCAAAATTTTTACTTCACTTTTTCCAGTTTTATTAAGGAATAATCGACAAAAATTGTACATTTTAAGGTGTACAAGGTGATGTTTTGATGGCAAAATTTTATAAGAATAGCAAGTGTGGACAAGGATATGGAGTAATCAAAAACCGTATACACTGCTAGTAGGACAGTAAATTTAGAAAACAAGTTAACATTGTCTTTATCTTTAAGATTAACATGTTCTGTGGCCTAGCATCTTTACTTCTAGATCGTAGTTACCTAATAAAATATTTTGTGGCAGTAAAAATGAATAACCATGACCACTTGGATATTAGAGGGAAAATGCAAGTCACAGAACACTTACAGTATGAATCCATTTATACTAAGCTCAAAATTAAGCAAGACTAATAAAGTAATAAAGTATTACTTGAAAAACAAATGTGATAAACTTTTTTAAAAGCAAGAAAATGAAAACTATTCAGGATAGGAAGTACCTCTCAGGAGATAAAAAGGGAAATGAGGTTGATGAGGAACACATAAGAAGCCTTCTTAAAATTGACAATACTCTATTTCTTAAGTTGGGTGGAAGGTACATGAATGTTCATTATTCCACATCAAATATTCTAGTGTGCTACATAAAATACATTCTTCTATAGTATGTACTATGAAAGACATATATTACTCCATGACAAAATATTTAAGAAATCAACAATGAAAATTTTACTTATTTCTTTGCAGGTAATATGGTAGACTATCTAGGATATGCAGAGGAAGAATCTGGCAGGAGGGTTCGTGAGGTATAGATAAAAGTGGCCATGTGTCAATGGGTAGTGAGGACAATGGGATTTATTATGCTATTCTCTATTTTTGTTTCAAATTTTCCATATCAAAAAGTAAAAAAAGAGGTGACTCTTCCATTTAGCAAACCATGATGTCACAAAGGAAACTAAAGTTCTCACTCTACTTATGGGTCCTAAGACATGTAAAATACTGTCTATAGTCTTCACAAACCATGGTTAATGCATTATTTTGCCTGTTGCCATCCACTCAAATCATGAGTGGTAAGTAAATCAAACAAATAAAGAACTCACTCAGAAACATCCAAAAACTTTAGCTCAGGTTTAAAAACAATGAAAAGAAAGAAACATACGTCGATGCATCTCCCGGTAAAGGATAGTAAGCGCCTGAAGCGAGTTGTCATCCGTGGGTTCAAGGGCTGCCACCTCCTGTGCCAAAGTGAAGGCTTCCTCTTGCTTTCCAGTTCTCTGTAAACCAATTGCCTTTAAAACCTGATAGGAAGGAAAGGCAAATTAGTTTGAAAGAGATGTAAAAGGAAGTATGAACCAAAGAAAGCCAATTTGAAAGCACAAGGTAAGTTGTAAGATATGCCTATGTTGCTAATCAAATAAACCACTTTACTAAAAATACCAGCAAACAAGATTCTTTCCTGTTTTAGTCATATTAAGAATGTATAATATTACTTTAAAGGACTCTGAAAATAAAATAATTAAATCAGATATATAAAGTTATGCCCACAGAAATAAACTGCTAGCTTTTAATTAAATACTATTTATGGCATTTAAGTTATCAGGACAAAAATGGCCTAAAAAATACTATGAAGGAACACAGATAGTTACTAAAGAAGTTAATAAACACCTTTTTCCTTTCAAGGTTATTATATAAAACCCACCAAATATAGTAACTCAAGGGCAAATGAACTTACCTTAGCACAATGAAGATCCTTATGTTTCTTCAACAATTTATCCGCTTGCTGAATTGCCATTTTATTATTACCATTATCAAGATAATCTATGAAAACAAATGACAGTTATTACATTCTTTCAACAACAACATGAAAAATACATAAGCTAATATCAGGTGTTTCGGAAATTATCTTAATTCTGTATTAAAAACATCATGGAGCTGATTTCAACTCTAAATGGCTAGCATGGTCCAGAATACAATCTTACATCCCTATAAGTCATTTCTTGGGGATCAACAGAGGTGAGGCTTAGAACCTCACCCCCCCTGTTTTGAGAGAAATCTTTTGCACCCATGGATGTTTTGTTGCCCTTGTCTAGCTTGGATTAATACTTAGTCTATAGGCACACACCTGATCATCTACATTTGCCCTCTTACAGCACTAAACTATGTTTTTCTACCTTTATCTTGCATCTACCTACCACGTAAGCATTTTATTAAAAATAATAATAATAAAGAGAGAAATGTGATATCCACATATAAATCAAGTATAAAAATCAAACGAATATTCATATTTGAACTGACTGTTTATAGTTCATAATGCATGATCAAAACCGAAAGTTTCTGATATGGTATTTGTCATAGAGAAACATTCAACCAATATTTGTGGAATAGATAATTTCTTAAAAAATACCAGAGGAGAATCCATATCCCTAAATCAACACATCCCTAATAGTTCATAATGCATGATCAAAACCGAAAGTTTCTGTGATGACTGCCTTTGTACTATTCACCATGTAACTTATTCACCATGTAAGAATTTGTTCTCCATGTAAGAACTTGTTCGTTATGCTTCAGAAGATTGGAGACTGATGAAAATTAGGCTTGGGGTGGATTAATGATTATACATTGAGCATTGAGTCCCCTATACAGAATTTCATTGTTGTTAACAAC